TCTCTCTCTCTCTAATATACAGAAGAATTGAAGTCCAAAAATTTGGCAAGAGACACCATGACGGACAGAGTCTACCCATCAGCCAAACCGGCGGCGAACGGAGGTGAAGCAACCGCCACCGTCGCTAACGGCGGTGCCAACCCAACATTTCCAGTCAACAAAGCCCAGCTCTACAACGCCACTCGTCCCATGTACCGTCCCCAGCCTCCGCCCAAGCGTCGGCACAGCCGTAGCTGCTTTTGTTCCTGCTGTCTCTGGACTACCCTCATGATCCTACTGATCCTCCTCCTCGCTGCCATAGCCGGCGCCGTCTTCTGGGTGCTCTACCGCCCACAACGCCCCTCCTTCGCCGTCTCCTCCCTCCAACTCTCCAAATTCAACCTCACCAACACCGCCATAATCTCCACCTTCAACCTCACTGTCACTGCGCGTAATCCCAACAAGAAAATCACCTTTTTTTACGATCCCATATCGGTGAAAGTATTTTCCGGCGACTTCACCATCGGTGATGGATCATTACCGGGATTCATTCACGGTAAAAAGAATGTCACCACTTTGAAATCTGTAATATCAAGCTCAAATCAATTTTCCGATGGAACAGATGTTTCTCCATTGAAGTCCAGCTTGAAGAACAAGAATCTGCCACTGAAAATCCAGCTGGATACCAAAGTAAAAGTGAAAGTCGGAAAAGTGAAAACTAAGAAGCTCAGAATTAGGGTTACTTGTGACGGCATTAAAATTTCAGTCCCCACTGGAAAAGCAGCCACGGTGGCGAAAACCACCGGTGTCAAGTGCAAGCTTGATCCAAGAATCAAGATCATCAAGTGGACTGTTTGAAGAAAACTTCCGACCGGAAAGTCAGTCACAGCAGCGCATCTAATTCAAGTGCAAGCTTGATAATCACTGAATCAAGATCTGTTTAAAGGAAATTACTTTTACACAAAGCGTAATAATTGTTTTATATTAGTTTTTGGTTTGAAGTTTTGTTATTCTTGGATTTGATTTCATTCTTTCCTCTTTTTTTACTTAATTTCGGGTGTATGAATATCCGTAGGATTTAATATTTATACTCATATTGCATATATATTATAGTTTCTTGAAATTTGATGGCAAGAAAATATGTGAACAATTTTTATTTTCTTTCACACATTTTCCAGTGCCACCAATTATAGAATATAATTGTGGTGAGAATAAATTCATGTCCTGGAACATGACCTACTTGGTAACGCGTCAACCGACTTGTATCATTGAAAAAGTATAGAAACAAATTTATTTAATTTGCTTCTATTATTGCTAGATTTTTATAGTGAAATAGTAGGTAGGTGGGGGTGTCGGTGGAAAATGGGA